TATCATTGATAAGAAGTTTACAGCAAATAAATTTATTATCAATGCAAAAAGCATAGCTACCAGTTTGACCGGCAATTTTGATTTCATTCTTTTAAGTCGCACGCTCAATCCTTTTTAGCTGCACCTTTTTTTTCACACCTAAGATATTTTCACACAAGATATTTAAGGTTAGAAAATGATAAAAAATCCTATAACCCGACCGTTTTCCAAATGTGGACCTTTCTTCTTCAAGGGAAAACGGGGAATGATGCTTTTCATTAGATTATTATGTTTCAAGTACAAAATTTTAGCTCATGACTCCTACATTTCTTGACCGATTTGAGATATAATTACAGTTTTGGACCCAGGAGATCAAAGTCTTTCAATTGATGTATTTGATCACACCCAAGGTATCATAGGTTAATTTATTTTAATCCTGCCTAAAAGAATTTCAATTTGAGGGTAGGCTTTAGATATCCCGATGAGTAATAAAATCGAATCAGATATACGGGCGCCCTACGCTTGGTATTGCTGGCACACAGAAATATAGCTAACAAAAAGGAAAAAAGATTTCCTAGATTAATTTACTTTAATCTTGCCTAAAATAATTTCAAATGCCGCGGTTATTGAGGATTTCCCTCTTCTTTTTTTAATTACTACTAGTTAATAATACTTATAAAAGCGGATACTCCATTTAAACTATATTACCTCAGTGAAAGTGGTTGACACCATTAACTTGGTTTGTAAGTTATCACATAATAAAAAAGAAGCAGAAGAAAGAAGAACGAAATATGTAAACCTTTTGCTATGATATTTACAGACATTCTCAGAACTTGTGACTCATTCATTAAATAGATACTGTTATACAATGATACACTGTATAGTATTGTAAGGTTATGATAACCTATTGAGGAGGTATTTAAAATACCATTTCGATTAATAATCCGAGCCATCCCTACATAGGCAGTGCAACCGCCTGCCTGATAAATATAAGGGAGTAACAAGTTATGTAGCTCTTCATGTTTATGTAAGGCTGATTTAATCGAAAAGTCTACTATCTGTGATTGTTTAGCAAGCATAACTATATATTCAACTTGCGGATTTGTATAGTAATCACTGTTACATAAATGCGACCTTGTAAAAGATTGTAACTTATCTCTACCGTATTTTGTCAAAATATGATTTCATTAAAATAAATTTTGAAACACTGGATCCTTGCTTTTATCAATGTCATAAAATGTTAAGAAATAAAAAATGCATACTCTCTAAATTAGTTTCTTAAATAATATTTTACCCTCTTGTGCTTAAACATAACATAACATTGTAGCAATTTAAAATTAAACAACTAACGAGACCAGTCTAAATATGTTGTCAACTATATGCTTACGTATATGTGCTAACAATATGACCTAACCTAGTAACAATTTAAAAAACTCAGCATACAAATAGTAATAAAAACAGGCAACTAACTAGTTGATATCAAGATATAAGAAGTAAAGGACTTCTGACAGCCACTATTAGCTGGTACAACATTGGTATTTATATTTCAAAGTATTTTAGCCAATATAATCAAGCCAAAACCCGCAGTAGTTATGACATTTAAGAAACGAAACACCACTGAACGTGCTTAATCTAGAATATTCTATTCAATCCTTGTTCAAATAAGGCAGTAACCATCAGCACGTTTCTCTTTCAAAGTACACTGTCTAATAATTTTGATAATATAGTGTAGTTGTTTATTTAATATGTCTAATGCTACACAACTTAAAAATGGTTGAAAGAATTCTTTTGGGTCAGATTCAACAACAATATGAAAACATGTTAACGAATAAAAGTGCTATAGATTTTCCATCTCCATCATGAATGAGTGATACAACATAATAGGAAAAAATATGTTGTTGTTGTTGTTGTTTTTCTTAGTGGAATGGGCTACCTGCACTCTGTACACCGCGGGAAATCGAACCTCGGATATTTGTGTTGTAATTCCGAAACTTGCCGCAGATCCTTCTTTAGTTTTTTCCTAAAATATTTTACAAAAAATGTCTTAAACAATCAAATTAACACGATTTTCTATTTGCAGTAGCGATACTCCATTTATTTATAAATAATTCTTTATTTTCATAAGAGAATCTGTAATTATAGCGTTACTTTTGTTTACTAAGTATAAATGTTTATCAAATTAAAAAAAAATGTGAGTTTCTGTTTATTATTTATTCTCTACCTCTTTTATGGTTCAGAAGCCTAATAGGGTATGTCGTATCATAAGAGTTTTAGATTATTTTAAGAAAATCAACTAGAGAAGATTCTTAGAAAATGATTTAAAATATCAAATATTTATATTCTATGTTCTCACAAATGATTGTTTGCTAATGGAAACAGCTAAAAGAGAAGAAACGCATCAGTGAATATATAGTTATGTGCAATATGGAAATAATTTCCATTAAAATTGTTTTATTATTATTTCGTAGGGAATGATATCTGGCGTGGCAATCTCCAGGTTGCGGAATTAAAAACCATCACCGAACGTGTGACGGTCGTTCCCACTATTCATTGATAAAATAGTAACCCAATATTTGGAGGTGTATGATATTGATTAGTTTGCCTTCCCTCTAGTGTCTCAATTCAAAATTAGGGACAGCTGAAGTAAATAGCCCTAAAATAGTTTTGCACGAAATTCCACAAACAAACAATCGGGAGAATAAGAATGTTTGCCTGTGCACGACCCACTTTGAGGCCAGATTCAATTTTATTCACGTTCTAGCTAAAACAATATATTCTAAGTAATAAATGATCATAACCACAATTAATCTAGGTACATTAAAATTAGACTCACAAGAAAAAATTAAAAAGGGAAAGCAGTGTTAATTAATGGCCAAATCCCTATGTTCGTTCAGATAATAGTAGCCATTGAGATAGTGGTGAGTACTGTTGACTAGCTTGTTCCCTCTAATCTATCAATTCAAAATTATGGACGACCATGCGCATTTAGCACTTCGTATAATTTTCTTCTTGAAACACGTTCTTTATTTGACTATTTTCTTATTAATGTGTATTTTTTCTTTCAAATGAGGTGTTTTGCTGTTTTCCGTAATACATGTGAATTCTAGGATACACTTGTGTATTTATAGTTTCAAAACAATCTATATTAAAATATCCTATTTTCTTCGTTTGTTTGTTTTTTATTCTGACGTTTTTTAGGAACAGAAGACGAATCAGTCGTTTTTCGACCCATGTTACTTGCTCTTGTAACACTTGTGTCTGTTTTAATCATCGTGGCTGTTGTGGTGGTGGTTCTCATGAAGTTCAGAAACATACGCAGTACGAAAGGTGAGTCCACAGTCATTGTGAAGAAATGTCAAGGGTAAGATTTGTAAACCTTTTTAATTGAATATTTTCATGAAATGGATCGTTAACAGTATTATGTCTGTTGTAACGGCTAAACATCCTAAAGCTACAGTTAAAACATTGATAACTGTTGACAAAAATAGAGGAATATAAGAAAGGTTACAAGTTCTCAAATTATATAATATTTATGAAGATGTATATATGTATGCATATTATTTTCTATTTCGCTTTTTGTCAATTACTGAAATCATTTCTTTCTCTTGAATAAACACGTAAACATATTTTTAGATAGTTGCATGATATATTGCCTTCACTTAACTCACTTGAGATGTAATCGGTTGCCATTAAAATCGATAAACATTTGTATATGAATATTTATTGTTTCAATTGCGCATGATCAGATATGTCAGAACTATATGCTCCGTTTGAGTCAAAATGTCACTCTATACAACAGTAGATTCAAATATTTATCACTTTTTAAGTAAGATACGTAAACGGATTCATTAAAGACATTATGTTGTTTTATAAAAAGTGATATACCAGAATTACCAAAATAAAACAGAAGGCTAAGTGATGGCATTTGTAACTGACTAAAGGTAATAAACCTCTTTTTACTCGTTCACCCAGAAGGTTCATTAGATGTATGTGAAAAAGGTGGACGTTCAAAGACTCTTTGATAATGTCAAGAAGTTTGTTATGAACTGTTATTAATGTAGTACTTACAATACTGCGAATCATCGAAACTGGAGAGGACAAATATTCAAAAGTCACTCTCATAACAAATATAATATTTTCTTTGTAAGCATTACCTGTATATAAAACAAAATATATAAAAAGCGTTTCATTTAATACCATCCAAGTCAAATACAATACTGAATATCTTATAACCGTTTATTGCTTTCCTTTAATTACTGACGCAGCGTTAAAAATGAAACTAAATAATGCCAAACACCCATTTATAGTTCGTTTGGTTTCAACCCCTTAACTAATAATGTCCTCTTTAAAAGCAAAGTTATTTCGTAAGAACAATTCGCATAATACAATTGTATTTCCAACCTTTAAGACGTTAATAAAAATAACTGTGATTTTAAAGAAATAACTTCGAGTGTCACATAAACTTTCTGGTTTGCTGTACAACGACTTATTTCAGCTTGGCTTAGCCCTACAAAGATTCATAAAAAAGTATCTATCATGAGTTGTTTAATACCATTCTCTCCAAAAAAAAATTCCATACTTTGCCAGATAGAACCAACAAGTTTTATACCTTCACGAAACAGTTCAGTCTAAATAAGTAATGTGTCTTCCATTAATGATTTTATCCCGAATCTGCTAATACAGAAAGCTTAAAAAAAGCATAATTTCTTCGTTAAGATTGATTATTATAAGAAGAATGTGTTAATAGAGTTGAAATCCACACGAAATGTCCAACGTTAAACTGAAGAAGACGTGAAATGTCGAAACTAGTATTCATATGAATATGATATAGTTCCGCTAGTGTGGATTTAAACTTTACTGTGAATTACTTTAAACGGTAAGGAGATATATTACAAAAGGTGTCCTGCGGATTATTTACAGTAGCAGTGTGGTTGCCATACTGTAGTTTACTAATAAACATTGAAACCTTAACCCTTGGTTTCTGGCATAACCTGGTGGTTAGGGCACTCGACTCGCAATCTCCAGATCGAGGGATCGAAAATCAACACTTAACGTGCTCATCCTCTAGACGGTCAGTCTAAATATTCGTTGGGAAAACAGTAGAAGTGTGGTCCAACAGCAAAATAAATAAACCTTAAGGAAAATAACAAAAAGTATGCAATACAAAACTCTGTAGAAATGTGGTTATTAACAACATAAACTTTTTAACTGAACAATTTGTATTGAAAGAATTGAAAATGATATAAATTGAACAAAACACTTAATCTATTTATTTTAGAACTTTTTTAACATAAGGAAACGAAGAAAATCAATATGGGCGAAGAGTATGTCTTTTATATACTTTGTTTTTAGTTCTGATAAATAGTAAAACATATTGAAGATAGTAGGACGAAAGCCGTCATTTAGTTTTACTCGGAAGCAATAGATTAAACCCGTTTGTGCCTTTATGATTTCCGTATAACGTAGAAAATCTCATTGAAGAAAAGATGGTCATTTTTCATTTTGTTCTTACTTTTCAAGGTGGTCAGACGAGAAGAACGCTCCCTGATAAGTAAGTTGGCAGATATATTTGTAAACTACTGAAAGACTAATTATGATCATTTGTCACCATAAATATCAGAATCTCAATTTCGGTTAAAAACCCAATGTATGTTAACATTAACTATTGTTTTACCTGCCGATCAATACATGATGTAGATTATTATTATGAACATTTCTGTTCATAAATAAAAATACTAATTACTATACAAATCCCACTCTCAGTGGTTTGAAAATAAACTTATGTATATAACGACTTATATATCTTTAATACTGACTTTTACAATAATGTAATAAATTACAAAATGGTACATAAAGATGTTATGAATATATTATTGTTATTAACTGGAGTGTTAATTAATATTATTTTTATTAGTGTTTTATAAAAAATACAATATTGTTTGGTATTGTAATATTCTTCTGATAAAGAGATATATTACTGGTTCAACAATGTTACAGTTCATTGAGAACGTACATATAAACATTTATGTTTTTATATATAACTTATCTGTTAATCTCGTAAAACTGTCATAAGTACATCTTTCTAACTTGGCTTACTTTTTGGTACAAATATAAATCAAACTCTCGATAACTTCAACTTAGTCAATATTTTGATTGAGTACTTCCTTCAGCTTACGTTTTAATGTAAGTTAAAAAAACTTAATGGTGTACTTGAAGTAATATGCCTAGTAAATAACCGTTTACAATTTATTACAGTTGCAAACCTCAGTTCTCTAGCCATAGATTAATGTTCGGTTCTATTAGGTCTCAAACACCACTGTGGAAGGAAGCAAGCGATTTGAGTGAAATAGATGATAAAGGACCTGATATAATTCCAGCACAGTCTCTCGGCAGATTAAGTTTTCAAGGTAAATTAATAAAATACCTACGCACACTTAAATTGATGTGCGACTATGTTATAGGGTAAAGAATATGCAAATATAATTTATAGAAATAAACCTTTTGTTTATTCGTCTTTTTTTCCAGTTTCATGAAAAACTTCCTCAGTAGATTTACAGTACTTAAAAATAAAAAAAAGTATTATTAAAATCTAAACGATTTTCAATATTCTCGTAAGACATGTTTCGGCAACTTTCATTAATTAAAAAATATCTTTTTGCTCATGACAAAAAAGTATAGTATCCAACAGCGCAGGTTATAGATATTTTGTGGCAGTTAGTTTTTGTTGCAAAACGATGAAGCGTGAATACAAATTGGCTGTCATATACTAAGATGTCTTTTCTTTGTCGGCACGGTAATAATGCTGAATTAAAAGTAACTTATAGATATAACTTCTTGCTTTTTTGTTTATAACAAAGTTATCTCTACGAAATCTATCTTATGTTCATATTTTGATCAAAACATAATATGAATATACCTACAGAGTTAATGACTAATCATTCTGTCATGTTCTATTTTGGGGTAAATATTTGATATTAGACGAATTTAGCAGCAAAAAAATCTAACAAGCATTTGAATGGAATTCAGAAATTCAAATATATGAATTTTGGACATAATTACTTTGTGCTTGAGAAACATGTATGCGTGTTTATATATATATATATATATATTCTTTTTAAACGGTTTGATAAACAGAAGCTACTGTTAGGCTTAGTACATTTTCTCGTACATATATTGTTTCTTATGAAACTGAATCATCATGAAACATTAATATATTTTCATGTGTATAGAAGCTACAATTACCAATCGATAACATTTATGATGTCTCAAAGTGACACTCGTAGATTTAAAAGAAACCATAAGTTTACAACATATATGGGTAATCAAATATCTCAAAATAAGTTGTTAGCTATGAAGACCAAATAGTTTTATTTAAAAGTATGTTACGCGTACGAACTTTAAGATTACACTTCTTAATCACGCTGTTGACACCACAATACTCTGTTGTTGTTGAGTTTTGTGTATCTGTGTATGGGCGTTTTAAAAATCCATTATCTCTATCATGCGATATTTCTTATTCTTTGGCACTGAGACATCATACGAAATCAACAGCAATTGGTTCTGCAGAGCAGAAGCGGATAATATTAATTAAGATAAATAGAAACATTCTTGGTTACCGCTTAATAGTTATACGCATAAAATAGATAGCTATCTGACACTGAATACACCCCAATATCTATTACAAAATGATTATATAGGAAAAGAAAAAATCACTCATTAAAGGAACATTAAGGTATTCATTGGAAAGAAAAAACTAGATCCCATCATATGGAAACAAAACGTAATATATATGTTATTTCATTGTCAATGAGTATAATCACCTGGGAAATAATCAATTAGCACTTTCACGTATTCTAACTTTAACCCATATGAACCTGAAATTCAAGAAATAAAATATAACTGACATTTTGGGTGAATTCTTACCAAACGGTAAATGTCGGGAAATATTTCAGAATATAAAGAATAACTTATCATTAAACAGTTTTAAAGTAACACTGAACTGGTTTTGGGCCTTTAGGCTATATGTCTAATTTCTCCCTTTCTATCAATAAATTTAAGCGTGAACTGCTCATGTTAAACTGATTTTTAAACGTGAAACTATTTTCCTGACATCTACTGAGTTGATACTTATTTCCTGACATCTACTGAGTTGGTACTTATTTCCTGACATCTACTGAGTTGGTACTTATTTCCTGACATCTACTAAGTTGGTACTTATATCCTGACATCTACTGAATTGGTACTTATTTCCTGACATCTACTGAGTTGGTACTTATATCCTGACATCTACTGAGTTGGTACTTATATCCTGACATCTACTGAGTTGGTACTTATTTCCTGACATCTACTGAGTTGGTACTTATATCCTGACATCTACTGAGTTGGTACTTATATCCTGACATCTACTGAGTTGGTACTTATATCCTGACATCTACTGAGTTGGTACTTATTTCCTGACATCTACTGAGTTAGTACTTATTTCCTGACATCTACTGAGTTGGTACTTATTTCCTGACATCTACTGAGTTGGTACTTATATCCTGACATCTACTGAGTTGGTACTTATATCCTGACATCTACTGATTTGGTACTTATATCTTAAATATATTGAATAAATGGAAACAAATTGTTTCTCATATCTTTGACGATTTTTTATCTTGAATTATTCTTCGTTAAGCAAACATATTGGATAATTACCTGATATTGGAATGAAAATTGAATTGAGAGTATTTGCAAACCCAAACCTATCTTAAAATACTCTATAGTAGCTTTGAAAGTAATCAATTTAATCAAATATAATGATTTTGTTCCAATATGCTACAAATTAAATTTCTATGCGTTTGTTGAAATTTAAAGAGGTAAGCAGTTGTTCCGTGGTATAAAATAATTATGGCTTTAAGGTCTGCTGTATATATTACAGGACCTACATACATCAACAGGAAGTTTCAAATATATTTTCTGGAATTTATAAATTACTCTATTTGATTATGAAAATGTAAATGTAATTATATCTGTAACCTCAAGTCTACATGAGTAATAATAATTGTATATGTTTTTTTTAGTTGTTTTTATAACTTGAGCATTTGTTTTCCCAAATACATATATATATATGATTCTGAAGTAGATATTTTAGTCGTAAAAATAACCTAAGATGCATTTGGAACCTGTAGTTTTGACGTACGTTTTCTTGAGTGTTTATATAAAGAAAAAACAAATTTCAGAGTCTGGTTTTAAGAATGCTGAAGAAGACGAAATGACGGAGAGGTCTATAAGTTTAATTAGTCCAGTGGAGACTATTTATGGAAGTTCATCTCTACTAGAAGGATCTTCGTTACGAAAAGACGCATGTTACAGGCTTTCTGCTCCAACTGAGATTGCATATATTCATCCCCTTGCTCTTTCGCAAAAGGCAAGACGTGTTTTTCGTTATCTTATTGTTTCATTTGTTGAAAGATGAATTCAAATCCAGAGTATTCGTTTACAGTGAATTGTACATTTGATTTGAAGGAATTAATGTTTGTTTTGATGGAATTAAATGGGCATGAGCAATGAATTTAGTCATTTTATATTACGTTTTACTTGTCTGGAATTCACATTATGATTATGGAGATTATTTAGAAAACATAAAGCTAGACAAATAGAAGTTTGTATTTATATATGTGATTTCTGTTTATTTTAATACTTTCACCATAAAAAATACTCTCCATTACATTACGTTTTACAAAAGCTTGGAAATTACTATCTATTTAAGCAATAAATAATTAAATACAATCTGGTCGGTATTATTTTTTAAATAAAATGTATAACTTTCGATATTACAAAGTTAGAGTGAAACATTATACTTGATTTCTATTCTAGATATTATTTCTAAAGAAACTTACTGAATGCATTTCCGAAAGAAATATATAATCAAAATTTCTGAGAAAGGAAATTAAACCTATATTGTAGACAGGAAGTATCTGTTCTCCATATTTCCGTTATAAGTACAGCAACATTACGATTAACTTCCTTCAACTGATTGCATACTTAGGTACAACACTCTTAGCTGTGTTGTGTTTGATAAGAAGTTTAATATAAAGCTGTATTAAAAAACATAGTGGATAATGTTGTATACATTTTCAATCCTATTCTCTGAAATTAGCAGTTCTTTAAAAATGTTATGCGTAGACAAACAAAAAGAGCCTAAAATAAATGTTAATTCCTACAATACAATTCGTCTACAGACCATTATGAACTTAATTTGTACTTATTTTCAATTGCATATATAAAACTGAAGCGATTACATTATATTTCGGTAAACATATCATAGTAATTGCAAAAAGTCTACAAGAAGAAAATAAAAGTTACAATCTTTAGGTATATCAGTTAATTATGAAATTAATTGTATGCATTTGTTTACAAGAATCAGAACAAACAGCAACAAAAATAAAAAACATTATGTAACTTATTTCTTACAGCAATTTGCGTAGCGTAATATACATTTTTAATTAAAATATCGGCATCTAGTGCTAGTATAATGATTTTTATAGTTCCAGCACAACGTAATAA